GTTGCATACGCCCTCAGCGGCACCAGTTAAATGTTTAACTTGTGACACTGGAGGCAAGTAGCTGTATCTTCTTAATTAAATAGTGGCGAAACATTTGTTTTTTATTTGAAACAATTATGACACCAACATTAGACTCTTCACTAATTACGAACTAATTCTTTTGTATCTGAACAAATAAATAAATAAAGTGTCCATCCCTGATTTTATACACTTATACATGCTTTGTGTACACTTTGTTCTAACTATTATGGACTTTATGTATTGCTCGAATGTAATATTTATTACTACTTAATAATCAACAGTTAGTTCCGTACGGTGATGTATATATGACAAAAATACGGACCACGTATTAACACGTATTTATCTCTATATGTTCAGTTACATCAATTTCTGATTGTAAGGTCGGCCATTGAGATGTTCGTTCTTATAGTCAAGTCAAAAAAAGAATAAAAGTGGTCAACCCAGCATTAATTGCATCAGAAACGATTCCGCTTGTATGGAATAGCTATATAAACAGATAACTGCCTCATTTGCATAAATTTGCATAGGACACATAAACCCATATCCCAGGACACATAGTAAGTTAATGTATATCCCCATGTTTTTAAGCTCAAGGAAAATAATTAGCAACATTCAGGTTTTTCATCATACCTAATTTGAATTGATTTGTAGATAATTTATTCAAAATGGATGCCATGTATCCTGTCTATGCTTCCATGCCAGAATATGTACAAAGCTGGTCATTAAAACTATTACTTATGAGATTACATGAAAAGAAGAGCACATGGGTTTGACACAAATGGTGTTAGCTCAGTCAGGGATTTGAGTCTGATCAAAACACAGAAATATACCTTTTTACACAAACAAAAATGTGCTGAATATTACAGTTATAATTCATATTAAAAAGTTGAATAAACTTTGTTAGTACCTTGAGCATTTAGAATTCCACAAAGACTGAACAAGTACTATCAAGCATGCAGCATAAACATTATAACTCATAATCACATTTCTCAGAAGTTT